ACTGTATTTTAATTATAGAAAATGTATTATTACGAGTCAGATGTTTTCTGTTATTTTACAGGCGCCTCAGCTGCCAGAGTATTACTGATTACTAAAGATGATTATAAGATTGTTTTGGGTACCTTGTGTTGTATATAATAGATAAATAATAGATAAATGTTGCAATAATACATGATGGTGTGTTGAAGAGGTGTTTCATTTTGATAGACTAGTACATCCAGCTTTGGTAGGTAGTTTCCAAGAATGAATGGAAATATTGTGCAGATTGCTTTACGACACAAAGCTGTGTTTACTTTGCTCCTATCATAAAATCTAATTGCAGTTCCATCATTCAAACAGCTTAATTTCACATTTGCTTACTTCAGGGTGCATATTGCCTGATAACAAGAGCCTCTGTCCACATTTATCACTCTTGCGTGTTAAAACAAATCAGAATAACTCGAAGCGGAAACATTTCCTGCACAACAGGACGAGGTTGGTTTTAAAAAGTGGTGTCTCGGGTTTTAGAACAATAGCATCTTTAAATCTGAACACAATTAATGACTATTTCTGGCAGCAGCACAGTTCAGAAATGATCCCGTACTAAATGCCGTCACTTGGCTTCAGTTTGTGTTTGTATTTTAATCTCATAAATTGCTGTGAAAGCTGTGAAGGAAAATAAGAAGTTACCATCAAATACAACATGAATGTACCATAAAAATGTGAATAATTTAACTGATTTTTTGGGGGTGTCATCTATTAATTTACATCTTGACTTTGGAGGTTTATATTATAATACACAAACTTCTCAAAATAAATATTCAAGATTGCACAGATATATTCGCTTGTCTATGATAATCATGTCTGATCTGAGAAGCACAACACATATCAGGTAAAACAAATGCATGTGCACTTTGAAATGGACTGCAATACATTACACATCAGTAAAACTAAAATACTGCACAGTTACACAATTACACAAAGAGAAACTTAAGTATCAGGAGTAACAGCAGTAAGACTGTTCCTCCTCATTCCCCCCCACACTCCAGAACAATGCGTTTCCCATTATGTGTCCACGTCATGTCTGCACTAACTAATTATTCTATTTTTGAATAAACTAGAATTATATAATTATGAACTGGCTGACAACGGTGTTCAAAAGGTGTGTGTTGATGTCTCTTGGTGCTCTCTTTCTCAGTGCCTACTTTCTCACTCCTGTGTGGCTCTTATAATCCACTCCACTTCTTTATTGGGTTTGGATGCCTCCGTTACACCATTTCTCTCAAAATATATCTTCCCTTTACCTTCATAACATCACAGAATTGAAGGTCAGGGGAGGACATGTTACCAGAGGGCTGTCTGATGGGACTGTCCTTTCAGATTGTTCAAACAGCTCAAATACTATCAATAGTTTCCACAATGTTTATGTACCTTGTTGCCTACGTGCTCCCATTAAGTCCAGAAGCAACTGATACTCCTGTGATAAAAACACATGCTTTGTTAATAGAAATTTGATTAAACACAACGCAATTAGGAAAATGCATCATGTGAGCACAATATAACCTATATAATAGTTAAGCTCTTGAAGCTACATTTTGACCCCCACTAGGGTTCCCCAAGCTAGGCCTTCTTGAGTTTAAGGCGTGTTAGAAAAC